ACCAGTAAGAATATTTGTGTACATAAACAGTCAAAACAAGTTAGATATCAAGTTTTGGGCTATAGGGAATGCATACATCCTAAACATGTGATAGAACACATCTAAATCACCATCTTTTTCATGACTATTTTTGAATGCACTTTCTGTGTTTTTAAATGGCTCACTCCACATCATTTACATGATACAAGCAATCTTAGATTGGGCTCGCAGGCAGCAACGTCTGACAGCCTCTCTTGGTACAAGAATATAAAAGTGTAAAAGCTGACGAATCACTCTTTTTACCACTTTTTGTATGCTTATTAAATAGCCTCAGTGCTTATATAAAAGTGATTTGTTCCAAGCATGACAGTGATATCATCACCCTTTACCAAAGCTATTTGTCATCTGCAACAGGTGAACATTAAAACGTATATAGATCTACACCGTTTCAACGTTATAAACATATGCAGACATATGTATTACAAACATACAGCTCTGGGGAAAATTAGACCACTGATTATTCCTTAATCTCAATCTCTACATGTATGACAGCCATTCCATTCCAGTGTCTGTTGAATTTTAAATAGTAAAACCAGAGAAACTGATCATTCTGCAGTGATCTGTTATTTTTTTCCAGAGCTGTATGATTCTTTGCTGAGACATAAACTCTGACTAAAAGTGGTGAAATTAGACTACTATAAGTTTTGAACTCCAGAACAATTTTGTTGTATTTGTAATAGAAGACATTTTGGAAGCCGATATCATACTGCTCTACATAACCTTTGCCATTCAGCATAGTGACAGCTTTTTCCTTTGGTACTTTTAAGTATATTTGGATGCTAATACTTTTTTTTACAATGCAGTAAAACGTTCATTCACTTTTGCTAGATGTCTGCTTTGTTTCCCTTATTTGTAATTGTATGGTCATTATATTAAGTTAACAAAGAAAACCTATAATATAAACTGGGCATAAAAAGAGACAGTGGCTCCCAAAGAAAAATTGAATTTAGTTATGTAAATACTATAAGACGCAACTTACTCTGGGTTATGATTATTGTGCTCATTATTACTAACCTAGCACCATGCTTAAATGTTGTCTTGATACAATGCATGATCTTAGTGAATATCTCAATGTTACCCTGACATTTGGTATACATAGTTCTATAATGAGTTAGTTGCACCTAGAAACGCAATAAGTTGGTAGTTGGTTTGCTATCGCCAACAAAATAGCTGGTTTAGCTAACGAGCTAATAACTTTATCCAATACACCGACCACACAACAGTAACTTAGCTGCCTAATTCACGCTAACGTTAGCAAGTAGCTCCGTTAGCTAGCCGTCTGAAGCCGTTCCTGTGCTCAAACTCAAGCCTGAAATCCTAAAAACCAATGTAATCGCTTTACATGGATTGGCTGGTACCCACCTTCATCTTGATGGCGTTTAATCAGTTCAACTTTTAATCGATGGTTACTGTAAAAAAGAACATCCTCGACACTGTTGTGTGTATCCCACAATACTTCACTCTGAAGCGTCTGCAGAAGCTACGGCGATGTCATAGCAACAGCCGTTAGCCAATGGGGGGCCTCTAAAGCAGAGCTGGGTGAACATGTACTGCTTGTTGTTTAAAATATTTATATAGCATAATATGAGTTGTGTTAGATAATATACGAGTTGTAATATTGAAGAAAGGTTATATTTTAATCTTGTACTGTAATTAATTTTACATTCTGTCTTTAGCTCATCATATACTATTTTACATACATAGTTTACTTCTAACCATCTTTACCTGCACATTGGTCATTTTCAACATTATCTTGCACTATTTTTTATTTCTGTTCCGTTGGTTCTTGCTCTATTTTTTTAATGTTTTATTGGTTATGTCTTATATATTTATGACATTGAATCTTTGACTTTTTTTACTTATAATAATAATAATGCATTTTATTTATGGGCGCCTTTCAAAGCTCTCAATGACACCTTACAGAGGATAATTAAAAACTAGCAACAAAGAAGGTTAAACAGTAATTCAAGACTTAAAAAACAAAGTCTTAAAAACAATAATCAGTTTAGAGGAATTATGATATAGAATACGCCAGTTTAAAAAGGTGGGTTTTCAGGCAGGATTTGAAGGTTGAGAGAGTATATATATATATATACTCCACTTTCATCAGACAGCCTTTATAATGAGTTAAAAAAGCTAGCCTATTTATTGTTGATTGCTAAGTATTAAGCTTTACTCTAATAAAGTCTTATTTTGTTGTTTTTAAAGTCTGTTCATGTTTATTGTTTTTTACCTGTGTTTTGTCCATACTTTTCTTATTCATTTATCATGTGACATTTTAAGATTGATTGTTGTCGGGCTATATTCATAGGATGAAATTCAAATCTCAGAATATGCCTTTTACACAGAAGACATATTGAAATGTTATATTTAGAGGTTTGGTTTCATGATCGTGTGATCCTAGTACTGGATAAGGTATTTAATGCTTATTATCCATAAATGTAATGTATATTATTATTTAAACAGCCATTCTGCCTCAAAAACGTATGCCTAAATACTTTCACTTCCAAGTATATTTTAATGCAAATGATTTTGTACTTCAGTATGTTCTGTGAAAGTGTGCTTACACCTCATATCCAGTAGACGGCAAACTCGCACAACTTCTAGGACTTACTGCCACATTGTCTCTGACATCTGCTCTGTCCCTTCTAATCTTTTGATAGAAGGCTATAAGCAATAATGCTCTTTGAAAGAAAGGATACACCATCTTCTGCTTCTCTAACTCTTTACTGAGCAGGCTCACTGTACTTTCATTCATCTGAAATACATCATGCTGCTTCTTCTCTTGGGTTATTTCATTATTGATGAAAGGCAGAGGAAACACTCTGGTGATTCCGCACCCTCTTTACTTTCCCATGCATTGATGGAAGGGTGAGAGCCTATTTTAGCTCTATTAATGTGGGAGCTGAAATGAAATGCCAGCGGTGTGACACAAATAGTCCTCTCTGTTCTACAGCGAGCTGATGCAGACAGCACCATGCTGACTTAGATCTCATTAAGATGCGCATAAGGGAGCCGATTTATGATTTCCAAGCAAAATGGTGAAAAACATTTTTTTGCCAGTGATAACGAGTAAGAGTGAATCAATGATTTTGCAATTCACCTTTTTGAACTACATTGTTATTAAATCCAATAATGAAAGATCAATTACATCAATGTAATACAAGCAATCCTGCAATGAGTCATACAAAGTATGTCAATTACAAAAATTCACTGTTGAGGTCAAACAGCTGCAGAGGAAATTAGCTTCTGATCGATTGCAGTTAATTAATCTCTTCCTTATTCCGTACAAAGAAGCCCACAAGAATAGGCTTATGATTCAGTTGTGAAGTCGAAAAACGAATTATACAGACATTGAGAAAGCATTACAAAGTCCTACTTAAGTATTCTGTAGATTCTGGCAGTGCTGCAAGACACTTTAATGTTGCGATTTAGGCTGCCTGATTCCCATTGACGTTCCTTGCAGGATAATCTAACCTTTAACAACACATTGAACCAGTAGAATCCAAACTTTCATGCTTCACTTAAAACAAGAATTCAATGTGCCAATTTGTACCTTTAAGGTTAACAAACGTACTCCAAATATGTTTCAATATCCCTGATAAGGTTATGATATAGTACTTAAAAGAAGTGGCATTGAAAAACATATAGACAAAGTGATGACTATGGTAAATGATGAGTTGTTGGAGAGTTGTGCACACTGTGAGAACACTGTTGATTGTAATGAACACTTTCAGAAACAGTCTGACAGTATCACTCTATGCACTCATTATGATATGTTCTGGCTGCTTGATTAAGCTATAGCACTTCCTTCTGAATGACTTGTAAAAACACAAGACTGTCTTATGGCTGCATCCTTTAATAAAATCCATATTCTTAAAAATGTTGTTCATCGTTTTACATACTTTATTCAGAAGCAATGTTTTTGGAAACTTCGGATCAACACTAGATTTTCAAATAAAGCTTTAGACAACAGTTGGCTGCACAGCTTACGTTTGCATTGACTCACCGATTAGTTGAGTACAGTAACTAAGTTAGTAGATGCAGATGTGTGTACCTGTGTGCAGCACTGACACATAGGCAGCTGCATGTCTAAATAATTTTCCGGGTACCTCAACACTTGTATGAATAATGGACTCAGGTGGCAAGACAAGGTCACTGGCGTCATTTATCAGCGCCACCGAGGGCCGTTTGTCAGAGCTGGTTATGATTAAAAGCTTCCCCTGCGATAAATAACAGTGAATCAGCTGGCTCCTGGCTGTTGTCCTGGGGTTAAAGTATCTGTAAATTGTGAGCATTCCTCTTTCTTACAGGCTTGTTTAAAACGTTTCAATATGCCGCTGTGTCTCTGGCTCCGGCTGTAGCTTCTAAGTTAGAGCATCAGCACAGAAGAGAAAGGACTCATATTAAACACCCAGGCCAAGAAAATTAATTCGGAGCATAAAAACCATAGAAAGTGTGAACTGCAAAGGGCTGCTCTGATGGGGATGCTGTTAAGAGATAAGAGCCACACATAAACATACACATTTACACCATGATGGCATTTATAGTGCATCTGTGACAGATAAAAACTGCAGAAATCAGTAACATTAATATGAGTTAGATGTTATTGTAAGACTGCCAAGGCACACNTGTGAACTGCAAAGGGCTGCTCTGATGGGGATGCTGTTAAGAGATAAGAGCCACACATAAACATACACATTTACACCATGATGGCATTTATAGTGCATCTGTGACAGATAAAATCTGCAGAAATCAGTAACATTAATATGAGTTAGATGTTATTGTAAGGTTTTGTATATTACTATTTTACACAGGAGAAAACATGAACAAATCACATCCTGACTTTTATAGTGTAAAAGATTGATAACAGTATGTTACATAAGCATATATTACATAATTGAAATGGAAAGTAAAAGGTGTAATATTCTGGTGCAAAAAGAGGAGATGAGCAACTGTACCATTTCTCAGTGTCACTTTATTACACCCCGGCTTCATCTCAATTCATAATACAAAACAGAAACGCACAATAACACATGATAGATTTATTTGGCGCTGTATAATATACAGCATAATGCAATTAGACTACATACAGATTTGATATTTATTTATGTACAGAATATACACAGAATATATAACATGATTTGGAATGTCAGTCTTTATTTTTAACCTCTGACTGAGATCAAACTCTCTGACTACCTCTACACAGTGGAGGTGACACACTTCTTCTGCTCTGATCTAAAGAGAATGACTCTCTAAATAAGCAGCTGTATGAAGGCGAAGAAAATAGAATAATGCAGCAGTGCATTAGGCTTGAATAAACATCGGCTCAGCTGTGGGGAATCGCTAGCCTACAGTCTCTGCTTTTAAGATATCATGCCTGCAAATCTGGAAGGCTGTTCAATCTTCACTGGCTCCTGGGGCACGTGGCTTTCAGCTGTGTGGTTAAGTGTGTCATTGTATGTGTGTGTGTGTGTGTGATATGTCCGTGTATTTGTGAAGTGCATCCTGGGGGCTACATTAGCTCTAGATATGTCAGTTCAGACAGGAAGGCTGCTTACACACACACACACACACACACACACACACACACACACACACACACACACACACACACACACACACACACACACACACACACACACACACACACACACACACTTTATACTGATAGCTGACCCTGTGGCCAGTTACTTGTATTATTATTATTACTTCTCTGGTTATAAACCTAATAGCAGTGCTAAATGGACCTCAACTATGAGAACGGATATGATATCATTGTAGATTGTAAGAAAAGCTACAATAAAATAGATGTCACAGTATACTGTATGCTCCAGATGTGAGCTGATGCAACAAGGAAGACGTAAACATAAACATTAGAAAAAAAGCATTATGATATGTTTTTGACTGAAAAGAAACAAGTGTGTCACAGTTTCAGGGCCCTTCATAAGCTTGTGCTGATTATGTCAAAAGTCTTTCTTTCATCTGTCAGCAGGCAGGAAACGGAAAGAAAGAGGAGAGCAACTCGCCGACTGCAGCATAAAATAATAGGGACTATATTAAAATAGCATCAATGCAAGGCATCAGATATTGTTAGGAGAAACCAGAGCGTAAAAGGATCAAGCCCCGCGAACAGTCTCTTGACAATATCTCTCTGTCTCTCTCACCTTTCTGTCAGCAGAAATAGAAGCTGAAAGCAACCATGTAGGTTTTTGTGCATGTGTGTCCCGCCTTGTCTGCAGGAACAAAATAATAAGCAAGAAAATATGCTGCGAGACGACAGGTGTTCCTTCATGCTCAGATAAACACTATATTCCTCTTCATCATGGGTGTCGATGGCGGTTCACTTCTGTGGCATATGTTATCAGGATGTTCAAATCCTAAACGTTTTCAGAAACCTGACACACGATTTAACGCTTACCCAAACATAAACATTAAAATAAATGAAAGGCAGCTCAATCTGACTCCGCCGAAGTGTGTCATCAGTCTCTAACTTCCCGGCGTTGGTCACACGATGGCAGGCAGATGGTTTCTTGACCAGTAGCGGTACACTGAGGGTCTCAGAGCCACATGCACAATCTAGCATAGTGTTTTCAGAGTCTGACGGTCACCACGCATGCTCCTGCCCTTCCAAGACACAGAGGTGCTACCTGGTAATAATGAAAAGAAAACCAGAATCAGAGGCAGCTTGATTAAACAAAAGAAATTCAGCAATGCGACTACTGGAAGGAGGGACAAACTATTTGATAAACACAACCAACACATCGCCAAGCTTCCGTCATCTTTAGGGAGCTCTATAGCGAGTTTCAGCATGTCTTTCTTTCAGCCTGCAACCTTTGGTTCACTCTCACTGCTTTAATAATGTTATTTTCGGTAAGCCAATTTTGTTGGTGTGAAAAAGCCATAAATCCCACTTTACTGCTGATAAAGATTATGTGATTTGATTTGAAACTCCAGAATAACTACTAAATGAGATCTAAGATGAGATTGCTTTGCCCACTGTTGTTTTCAAGGTCAACACTTGATCTTTGAAGTAAGTTAGTCAACTGAAGGGAATGGATTGCATTGTGAATCTTCCCTCAGCTCCTCACTCTCTGCAAAGGAGACACAGAGTTTAGCACGGCAGGGCGCAGGAAGTGAGGGTTGTTCTTTGGCTTCAAGGGGAGGCTTGAGATTTGTATTGTTGTCTAGTCCTGTTAAGACCTTTAGCCGCTGGCTCTACACCGATAGTCGAAGCTGACGGACAGTTTAAAAACATGAATTTACCACCTACGTTGTCTGACTTTGAAGTAAAAAGATTGACAGTTTGTGTTCAAGCAAGGAGGATAAGTGGTGCTACCAGGAAAGGACAGGCAACCCATCCTCTGGTTTGTTTGTTTGTTTCAGATTCTGACAGTAAACAGAGGACACATTTAACGGTCTCAACATGCCCGCTCACATCTCAGTTTGTCTTCATCTCAAAGTGTCAGTTTCCTCTATCCACCCATCTCTACACCCGTCTTGTTCTCAGCATGGTGCTTGTCTCCAAAATAGCAGATTTTCAGCGTCTTTGAGTGAGAACCCTCTGGGGCTATGCAGGAGATAAGGTACCAACTGTAGTGTGATCAGAGATATGCTGATGCTGAAATATGTGATCATTCAACTTAAACAAATACATGTGTAAATAGGAACATCTTTTTTCCTACAGCTGCGTCGGCAAAGGACAATATTAACTCGAGGAAAATACACATTTACAAAGCAATGAAAACACACAATGATAAATGAGAGAGGCGCTGCAGGAAGGTCAAACTGTGTGTGTTTATATAACAACTTTATTGACGTGCATCAGGATTTATTACCCGTTTTTACTGAACTAGAGTCATGTGTACATGTACATGCAATCAAGTGGATACATATAAATCTGCTGCATATGAGTGTACTTTAAAACAACACAGCTTATTAAATTGTACTGACTATTTCCCTCCAAGCATATAAACTGCATTCATGTGCATGTTGCATTTTTGTTTGTTCGTGAGTGTTACCTGTGTCCATTCGTTTGTCTGAGGGTCGTACGCTTCTACAGTATTGAGATACACCTGGCCGTCATAACCGCCCACAGCGTAGAGGCGGTCGCCAAGGAGACAAACACCAACCGCGTCTCTGCTGATGCTCATGGGTGCAACTGCCGTCCACACATCTGTCTGCGGGTCATACCTGTAAGCAGACCATGCGTGTTCGATAGTTCAACATATTGGGAAACACACCAGTTAGATGACAATCCAATTTCATGTTTGAGTACATCGATTGCAATCCATAAGATTTCTCTCATGGGGCATTTGGCAACACAGTATTAACTGGTGGTTACAGCAAATACAGTTTAGTAACACAGGCCCCAGATTAATTTTAATAATGAAGTCACGCAGTAATTGGCTTTTTTTCCATCATTCTGTGAGCAACTGGGATCTGATTTGATGCTGCACATGGCATGAGTCTTTGAAAGTACTTGGTAACCTCGCTGAGAAGTTGGAGGTCTGTCTGTCGCCTGCAGCTATTCATCTAACAGCTCCTGACTCTAACATTACTCCCTGCTATATTTCAAACTGATCTGCTGTCAAAAAATGCTGTCGTCTTGATATGTAAATGCATTTTTGATGAACGATAGCCATAAGGGTGAAGCTCAGATGTGCTGTGACTATAATAAAATTCAACTCTTGTTTCACAGGTTAAATACTTTTAATTAGAATCTACAACAGTAGCAAATGTTTGCTTTGCTTTAGCAGTCATTTAGCTTTTTTGTTAGAATTGCACCAGACATCCAATTCAGAACACTGCAAATAGACTCAATCACTATTGTGATTCTGAATTGTTATCTCATTCAGTGATGAGGTTGCAAGTTGCAAGTCATCTGTTTATCAGGAAATAGTTAGACCTAACTCTACCTTCAAATATAAACGGTCTTCTGTTTTTGTATGCACTCATCAAACGGCTAAAAAAACCAATGTGGTAATTAGTCAAATTCACTGTTTTTGGTCGTCATATTTTTTTTATTTGTACAGAGCAGCTGTCCTGCTTTTGCACTTAATGCTTAACATGTTCTTCTCAATATTCCACACACCAGTGGTATCGAGCTTCTCATATTGCTCTTTGCAAATAAGCCGGATAAGAGTTGGTTGCATTCATCTATTCTTTTATAACCGCTATGTCTAGAATTGAAAACGTGTAGTATGTACATTTTAACATCACACAGTAAATTGGGTAAGTACATTTCAGATTCACACACAATATAGACCCACCTCTCTACACAGTCACTGAGCCGAGATGCGAGGGATGAGGCCGGAGCATCGTGACCCCCGATGGCGTACAGGAAGCCGTGCCACGTGGCCACGCCCACACCTCCACGCCTTTTAGCCATAGGAGCACAAGCACTCCACCTGTAATGGAGGTTGTCACCATCAAGGAGAGAAAGAGAGATTAATCATGGTGAAAAACTCAATATATTGAGGAGGAACATTTTTATTTTATTTTACATTTCAAGAATTAATCTCAAAATGTATATTTTTATCCTAACAGTTGATTCTTGTTTTTGTTTCAACTTTATTCTCAATATGGAAAAATAAACTGTAATATCTGACACTAAGTAACGTTCAGGCTTTATTCTCAAATATGTAAAATGAAATACAAATATTCCTCTAAATTAGTTTCCCCTTTGGCCTTGCTTTAAAACTGTTCCAATAATTAACACCTTGAAAATGTGCAAACTCAAAATCTTCCAAAATGTGCTCTAAAATAAAGAACAACTCTATGTTCAGGGGACCAATAACAACCTTGTCTGAGCCCTTGTGAAGAACCTAATGAATGTACTGAACAGAAGTTGTTTGAATGCGGTTTATTCTAACATCCTGAGAGGGTTAGCTGTCTCCTTTGATCTGTGGGTAAATAACCTTAAAAACACAGAGGCGCTTTATTAGAAAGTACAGCAAACAGGAGACAGCAATTCATTCTGGCAAAATGAAGTCCTGTGTCTCTGACCTGTTGGTGTGGGGGTCGAAACATTCCACTGATCGCAGGCAGGATGAGCCGTCACGACCTCCGACTGCGTACAGCCTGAGGAGGCAAGACAGGAGACAGTATTATCCCTCTGGACACACACACACAGAGATAACACAAAACACCTGCCATACCAAACACCCTGCACATTTCAGGACTCTGGAAGTCCCTTTTCAATTTGGTGACATCGAAACAGATGGGGCAAGGGTGTATTTAAATGTGTGTTTCTTAGTATTTGGGGATACAGTGAGGTGAGAGAAATCAATCAGCTAAAACTCTTGGTGGTTTCACAACCCAGAGCAATCCCTCGGTCAGTGGTGTGTGTGTGTGTGTGTGTGTGTGTGTGTGTGTGTGTGTGTGTGTGTGTGTGTGTGTGTGTGTGTGTGTGTGTGTGTGTGTGTGTGTGTGTGTGTGTGTGTGTGTGTGTGTGTGTGTGTGTGTGTGTGTGTGTGAACTGTATGTACACACATTCATTGATGGGGAGTTGGCAGAGCGAAGAAAGAAAGCATCAGAGCCAGTCAAGCACGGAATGAGCTCCATCAGGCAAAGAGCCCAGAGAAGTCACAACACATACTCACACACACTTCTGCCGGGCATGCTTAGCACAGATCAGTTATTTCTGTATTAATTAGCATCTTAAAAGCCTTTCTCCCCAGTTTTCTAAGAGGCACTGAATAATAAAACAGCGCTGCGATATTGCAAAAAAACTCTTTTACGTATTAAATCCCACGATTATTAGGTGCATTGGTTCACTAGGGACTGTGGATGTGTAATTGAGTATTGCCATTGTGTCAGCAAAGCACTGCAGATAACTTGATCTTTGTAACCCCAATTTTCCAAACAAGCAGAGTGTGTGAAGCTCTAGGTATGTTTTCCCATGAAGTCAAATTCTTCTTACTCCAGAGAACCAAAACGATTTGGTTTCAGGCCATTGACAGATGTTCTCCTTTGGGCTCAAGCACTACATGTTGCTAATTACTTGACTCTTTTTTTGGGCATACATTGGCTATTTACTATAATGAGGTAGGTTGATGCAGTATATATATCTGTAGTAAGTACTTTTTTTTTTACATATCTACTAAAAAAGTAAATGTATTAATTTGTATTGATTTATCCAAGTCCATACTGAATCCAAGAACAATGGATGTCCTAAACAAAGATCTAAACGTATGTTCAATGTTACAGTGCATGTGTACTATGTAACTTTGATATATGTAGAAATGTAAAGCAATAGTGAGTGAATTTCCTTACTTTCCATTGAGTACAGCTACTCCCACTGTGCTTCTGGGTGTAGCCATACTTGCAACAAAGCTCCACTGGCGAGCTTGGGGGTCCCACCTGGTAAAAGAGAGGTGAAAAGTTCTTAGTCCTGCACATAATAAAAACAAACATGGCTAAACGGACATTCTTTCAATGGTATCCTGTCTGCTGCACACACAAAGAAAGACAGGCAGCTAAATGGACATTTAAAGATTCATTCAAAAACTCCAATAGGAGTCATTTCAGCACATACACCCTGTCTATTTCTTATTTAAAGAGCATTTGTGAAGACCAGATTTTTTTTTCAATGGATAGTTAGCAGACCATGACGAGAATTTTGATCAATATAAAAGTAAATTGGATTAGAATCTCAGACTAAACCTTTAAGCAGAAAATAACACAAAGTAAAACAGCTGTGTGAAGCATCCTCTTACCTTTCCACTGTGCTGAGGTAGCTCCAGCCATCATGTCCTCCTACTGCATACATGGGCCCCTCTAGGACGGCTACACCTGTGATTCACAAGCACATGTGCATGATTTAATCAGGGCAACCTACCAAGACACTATCAGCTTGAACAAGCACATGAAACCACATGCGTTTGGGACGAGAGGGTGAGGTGTGTGGACATAAGCATGCAGAGTTAGCAGCATGTTGACACCTCCACACTCAAAGGATTTATCTCCTAGAACATCTGTGGTGCCAGATGTGTGCTAGAATCTCCATTCACACACATGCTCACATTTATAAAAAAGAATAAAGCACCACCATCGCACTCCTTCAACTTTTGTAATGGTTTGTTATGTAGGAACAATCCTCTGCCAACTTATGAAGCACTTAACATGTAATACCATCCAATACAACAACCCTCCCATAACATCCATCAAAGAATCAAAGATCAATCAAAGAAATGTTTGATGTTCACTGATATTGTCTTAAAATGTATGGTATATTGCATTTGTATGTAAGGTGTGAAGTGCTGTTACATGCTAATTATTTGTTCTTTCAATTTACATACTGTATGAGGGAGGCAGAATATTATAATACAGACCAGTACAACATCTACACCATGACTTTAATGCTAAATATATATCATTGGATTTACACCTCAATGACTGTGAATAAACACAAAAACTGACCACAATCATTGAAGTAGACATCATCTCAGGACGTTTGTAATAAATAAAGTGTCCACTGAGTGTATAATACATTTCTATTGAAACAAGCTTCTCACCTAGGCCATGCCTGTGTGTGGACATGGGAGGCATGACGCTCCAGGCTTTGTTGTGCGGGTTGTAGCACTCCACAGTGTTGAGGGTCTTGAGTCCGTCTCGGCCCCCCACCACGTAGAGACGGCCGTCAAGGACCGCTACACCAAACTGCAGCCTCCGTCCACTCATGATGGCCACCTGCCTCCACGTGTCCTGACGCAGACAGTACTGCTCGATACTGGTAGCCCCTGGACAAAACAAACAAAGTAACATGTAGAATATAAACAGCTGGCCTTGATGAGCATTATTGTGCACTAAGGCTGCAACCTACAAAGAGCATTAGGTGTATGGTCTGTCTAATTTTAATGGGCTGTTTTTCCACCTATTATATTTGAGCATATATTGTCTTTTTACTGTCTACCTTTTTTTATTACATTGCCCTTGCTTACAATAGGATAAGATAAACTTTTTTTTCTTCCGTTCACACACCATTTTTTTTAATGACCTTCTACAAAAAAATCAACAGAATAAAAATAAAACATAAAAAAATCTTTCAAATCACCAAAAATACACTATAAAATACAACAATAAAAAAAACAAATGGGTCCTTTATATCCCACATATCCCACACACACATGTCCTACATTCAACAAAAAGAGCATGTTCTGGTGCCGGAACCAAAAACCTGAACACTATGAATAAAGATGATATCATTATTAGGATTTTTATCATTTCCATTATAATATACTATATAAATGAAATGTATGGAGGTGTGTGGTAACATCAAAGGGACTGTTTGTACCTTTTGTGGCGTCCATGCCCCCCACAGCGAACATGGCCCCCACAGTGGCTTTGCGGGGTCGGGTACGGGGGCTCTGCAGCAGGGGCTGCCGCTGAGGCAAGAGGTGATACTTCATCCCCTCCATCAGCAGCCGCTGGCACTCCATGCTGTCCCGCAGCAGAGGGTTGGACTCCAGGTCTGCCAAGAACTACACACACACATAAAGAAGAAGAATGAAGACACACAGGGACATGTGACAACTGCTATTAACAAACAGTCAAACAAATGCAGGGTATTTGTGTACTGCATGTGCGGGTTACAATGTTATCCCTGATTGTGGGGGTCTGAGGGTCGAAAGAAAGCTGTTCCCTCATTGATTGAGAGATTAGATCAGACCAGAAGCCATTAGTGCACAAACACACACTCTCTCACGCACACACACACAAACGGACACTTGCGCAGACTAATCATCTGAAACACTAGAGAACTAATCTCTCCTCAACATCTCAGCAGCTCTCTAGTCCATCCCTCTAACACCCCCCCCCCCACACTAAATACACCCCCCTCCGCCCAAGGGGTGGCAGCATGAAGCACTTAATTCACCAGTCTGTTCTTATAAAAAATACATCCACAGGAAAATCTGCCTGTGAGAGAGGCAGGGTGTGAAGCAAAGTTTCCCTGCAGGCAAGATTCAACATGATTTACATTTAGATAGGAGTGTGTGTGTGTGTGTGTGTGTGTGTGTGTGTGTGTGTGTGTGTGTGTGTGTGTGTGTGTGTGTGTGTTGTGTGGTGTGTGTGTGTTGGTGTGTGGTTGTGTGTGTGGTGTGGTGTGTTGGGTGTGTATGTGTGTTGCGTATGTGTGTGTTGACAGATGGAAAGCAGTAGAGGTTCAAGGAATGAGGCCGGAATTTTTTATTAAACATCATTAGAAGTGTGTATACCCGAATGTGTTGGCTGAACAGAAGTGCTATGTTCAGACATGCCTGCTGAGAATTCAATATGAGCAGAAGTATCCTACGATAACAGACCCTTTGATATCTTTGTTGAAATTTAAATGACAACCTTAACCAATAATCACATGATACATCTTATACATACTTATCCTTCAATAAGTTACAAGCAGAACATATCGTTTGTTGACCAGAATACTCATCAATCTGTTTTAAGATTTAGCTGAAGGAAACCTGCACTATTCCTCTGAAGGTTGCTTTAGCAGAGCTCTTTTTTCTATGGCCCCTTTTACCAACTAGGCAATAAATAAATAGTGCAAATAATTAATTTGGGTCAACCAAATGAATAAAAAAATCAATTTTCTCAGCGAGACATGAGAGAGTAAAGCAAGCATGGTAATGGTTAAGCAGCTTACACGGCAGGGGTGAATCCTCGCTTCATTGCAACAATCACTGGGCAGCCAAATTAGGGTGAACGCCTGCTTTCGACCTCTCATGTGTGTGCGTGTGTGTGTGCGTGTGTGTTGTGTGTGTGTGTGTGTGTATAAGCAAAGGAGCGAGAGAT